TAATTTTACATCACAAGATTTCATAACAAAAAGTTCAGTTTATATCTAATGAGAATCTAAGCATTTTGTTATCTCAACTTACTATAGCAATATGGAAATAGCAAATTATTAAGAAAAAATCTACTTGCATTTAACAATATTAAAGCTAAAATTAAAATGTAGTTTATATTCTGTAAAACGAGTATCAGTAACAAACTTATGCAGTTCATGTGAACCTAACTAACTTGAAGCACATGGGATATTCAATTATTTAATACGAGTATATTACAGTATATATATTATCTTGATGATTTTGAATTACACGTGTCTCTTCTGGCAAAGTAAATTTATGTATGGAATTGTATAAATAATTTAAATTTTATTTTATAAAACGAATTGCACATCCTGTTAGGTGATTAGTCACATAGAAACAACACAGCAACCTTAATCAACTCAACTGTCATATTTGTGTGTGCAATCTATTCACAATTTCATAACAATTTCATCCAGCTCAGACATAACGTGTACCCGTATTTCCTTTCAAAGCTTCAATAGTCTAAATTGAAATGCACATGTGTAATTTGCAACTATTTTCATCATCCAGATGATGATAATGTAGATACTGTTTGTAATGATAATGCTGACGCATAAAAGATATTACATACACAATATATCGATGTGCATATCGACAAAGAAACGAGGGCAGCAACAACGGACATACTCGCATCGCATCGCATCGCATCGCATCGCATCGCATCGCATCGCATCGCATCGCAGCAATATTGAGTTGTAATAAATTTTTGGAATTGTGTCATCTTTGACTTTGTTTATGTGTAATGTCTTAAGGCTTGAGGCAAATTATATATATTTATGGTACATTAAAATATCTATTGATTAAGAAATATGCACACTTCAAAAGAACACTGTTATTAAATGCAATGTTATGTGAATTTATGTAAAGAACTTAAAAGGAAATACTGTGTCAGTAATTTTCTAAATTCTAAATTTCTATTGTGCACAAAGTTTTTGAAAAAAAAATTAATTCTATATTTTAGAATGTATAAAACATATGTTTATAACAAAATACCATAGTTGACTTCGGAATAAAATGGGTGGCATTTAATTAGTTATGTCCCCTATAACCATTAATAATAGCTAGCTAATTTATACTATTTTTTTTTAATTAATAATAATACAGTACCAGGAGTCACTACGTTTAGTTTTAGTGATTTAATAAAAAAATAATTCTTTTTATAGAGCAAAAATATAAATTCTTCAGCACTTTATATAAAAGGTTCTTGTGAACCCCGCAATAATAACATCTCAGTCTTTGAAGTATAAAATAGATATGTTTTTATAGATTTGTTTATTGCCTGACTCACGATATTTTGAATATGTTAATAAGATTTTAGCTTAAAACAGTTTATAGAAATTTTTTTATAGAAATTGTTATAATTTATAAATCGTAAATAAAATAATTAAAGAATACCATAATCTTTACTATTTGGACAGATTCTAAATCAAAACATAAATTCACCACAAAAAAGTATTTCAACACTTTATAAAAATGTTGAAGTGACAGGTTAACACATATCCAACCGCAACATTTTTCATAATTAGCATTTGTTCCCCATTGCACTATCATATCCTTACAAAAAATCTAAATAAATTAAAGCTAGATCTACCATGTTGAATTTAAGTAATTTACTAAAATCTTTTGTTCTCACCGATGAACAGTCCAACAAACAATTACTAAATTATTAAATTATGCTAGCATAAAAATCTACCTTTTCTGATTTGTACATAATAACCTCACATAACATAAATATGGATTGCAACCCTAACCACAAATTCAGTAAAGATCTTGTAAATTCAAAACAGAGTTTTACTCAGTCAAAACTTGCTTTACTAACACATTAAGTCATTATTTTTTTGAAGATACTCAAAAATTTCATAACACTGTATATTACAAAAAAGGCTATTAGACATGGGTTTATAAATCACAATAGTGGTACTAATTAATAGTGACAGTGATATCCTGAGCTAGAAATGATATTGTATTTCTGATGTCATTATGTGAATGACATCGTTATATTGTCGTTCAGATGAATTGATATAAAAACAAAATTGCATTGACATCGGGAATTTTTTTAGTTATCTAGAAACTATAAAAGTAAGTTTACAATTAAATTCTAGATAAATACACCTTTATCTCTTTCTAGAAATTTCTTTATTGTAGTATTGCCTGGTGCAATACATGATATATACCATATGAATCAATTTTCCAGTTTAACTTTTAAATAAATTTAATTGTCCAGTTAGAAAATAATATATAACTAGACATAAATGATAAATATTTAACACACCTTGATATAAATAGATTAGATATAATTCTAACTTTTTGTCACAGCAAAATTTGTGGCTAAATCAAGACTGACATAACGTTGTTCTGGTGTTTTATTTGGTCTATCATTATCAACAAATCAAATTTTTAAGCAGTAATCACTTTTTCCATCAGTTGCAGTTAATAACCTCTAAATTACTTACATATAAATTTAAGCTATATATATTTTTATATTCTACATTAAATACAGTTTTTAATAAACCATAAACAATAGTAATAATACAATGTTATATATGAAGTGTGTAACCAATAATTTTACTGAAATTTTACTGAGTATTTTGCAGTTAATAATATTACTGAGAAATTAATTAACTTGAAACTGTTAAAGTGTTAAGTAATCAATTACACTCAATTACATTTAATTACAGATTCATCCGAATAAAAAATACTAGTACGTGCTGTTTTTTTTTGCAATAATTTTAAACATATATTCAAATGGCATAATTAAAACTTAATTAAAACTAAACTTGTTCAAATAAA